TATGGAACATGTAGACACTTCATTTGCTTAAAATCATCTACTGCTAGTAAGTATGTGGAACTCTAATTCTGTCATCTGCTGTCTGTTTCAGCGAGGGAGGCATCCAACATGCTCCAGCAGTAAAAATGCTAAACACATTTTCAAGTGCTACAATGAAGGAAGATTTATAGTCTAAATAGATTTCCCCACTCATCCACTGCATTCTGGGAATTACTTACGCAGATCTCCCTTCCACATCCAGTTTAGTAGGGTTGACTCCCTTTTTGGCAAGGATAGATGAAATTTTTTCCACATCTCCCCTTTCAGCTGCTTTCATCAACCGATCGTCATATTTGTTCCAATCTGCATTCAGCTACAGAGACACAAAATTAAAAAAAAAAAACTGAGTTTGCTGAATAGCATGAACCCATGAAGGTGTAATAAAAAAATCTCATGATTCCCTATTCTATTAACTTAGCAGATATTGACAAATTAACTGTATGTACACAGAGCAGCATGTTCATTTAAAATCCCTACCAGAAGACATCCCACAGGTTTCCCACGGGGGAAAGCATAAGAGAAAAGCCACACGACAGATGAATAGACACCCTGCTTAATTCACTACAGGAAATGCCCACATACTCCAGCGATGAGGGCATTACCAGAATGATATATAGAGTAGACATCACACGCTGAAGAGGAAAGTCCCCTTGGAATTCTGTAGATTTCAAGGAAGACCCATGTGCTATAAAGTCCAGAAATAAATAAAAACCTGCACTAAAGCCCAATATGAAAACAGTCATAGGGCATAAGGTTAAAGAAACGTAACTATGTCTCTGCCTGCTGCCAACTTTCCAGCCTGCAAGCTGCAGTCTACCCAAGTGTTTTTACCAAAAGGTATTTTAATAAGGAATTAAAGTTTGCAGTCATCAAGATCTGAAATCATTTTAGGGTTTGAGGCCACATACAAAGTCTTAGAGGGGCAACCCTCTGCACAAACAAGGAGTCCCGTGGCACCTTACAGACCAACCAGATCACTTGGGCATAACCTTTCGTGGGTAAAAACCACTTGGCCAATCTATAAGTCTTAAAATGCCACAGGACTCCTCGTTGTTTCCACATGCAAAGTACAGAATCCACATCTTTATTTTACATACACGTGTAGGGTATGAAAGCTTAACCCTGTGTCACTCAGTACAATGAGAACTGTTAAAAAGCACAGGAGGGAGCGGTTCTTACATTTATATGCAGGAGGGGAGGAGGCTCCACAGGAGCTGGTACACATGGGAAGCCAGCTCAGAAGCTGGCTCCCCGCAATCACCGGCTCCTACCTGCTCCCCCACTCCCAACTCCCCCTCCTCCCGCTGCTGCCTCTGAGTTTTGCAGTGGCTACACATTTACCCACATTTTAACATCCCTACTCTCCACATGTTTGCAAAAAAAAGTTTCTTGTATAGCAACCAACAGGGATGCTGAAGACAGAATGGTGGCTTCATACAATTGGACGGGGAGATTTTCCCACAATGTATGGTGTATGTAATAAAGTGCAATGGGAGATTTCAACTAAATTCAGTCCACAGACTGAACCTCTCTCATCCATGACTCTGAGGTTCAGCAACATTTATGGTCGGGCCGGACCACACATGTTGCTAGATCAGAGAGCCCTAGCCGCAAAGGTTGAGCGCGGAGCTGGCCTGGCAGACAGTAGCCCACAGGACCAGTGACCTGGTGGCCAGGGAACCCCAGAAGTGCAGCGGCTGCCATCCCACGCGGGGCTGAGGGCAGGGAGCAGAGCCATGCAAGCAGGCTGGAGGCAGCAGAACCAGGCAGGTGAGCCAGTGCAGGTCAGGCCTCCAGGTTCTCCCAGAGCAGCAGCCAGGAGGGGAGCCACAGAAGAGCCCAGACGTCTGACCGCCCCTGATCCAGCAAATTCTCTTCTTTGGGATCACTCAGGTCTCGAGGGTGCCAGACCAAGGGGGTACAACCTGTATGATCCCTTTGTGTAGGACCATGGTGTCCAACCAGTTCGGAAGCAGTAGCCACTAGAGTGGCTATTACTATAGCAAACTAGCCCCACTCACCCGGCCACATAGCCACATGTGGCTAGTGTGTTGGATACTACGGGTGTAAGATATCAAACATCTAGAAGAGGGCGGAGTCATTAGAAAAATACTACAAATCCTGCTAATTTAGCATTAAGCAGCATGGAAAATAAGTGTTGCCAATCTGACATTAAATTCATCTTTAAACCTAAGCTGGCGCAAATTTCATTGAAGTGGGTGTTATACCTGCTTATTTCATAGCTAACACCCACCACACGATTGCCAGGAAAAAGCACTGGCATAAATGGCAGGGAGCCAGCTTTTATCCAACAAGTTGCTCTTCCTGGTGCACATTCAAGGTGAAAGAGCAGGGTGGGAAGCTACCTAACTTTCCAGTTTCAGAATGAAAAGCTGATGCTGGAACCAAGCAAGAGAAGATCAGGCTCTCCCCTACTTTCACCATAGACATTTTTGTTGTCCTGCCAGGAAAAAGCACTGGCATAAATGGCAGGGAGCCAGCTTTTATCCAACAAGTTGCTCTTCCTGGTGCACATTCAAGGTGAAAGAGCAGGGTGGGAAGCTACCTAACTTTCCAGTTTCAGAATGAAAAGCTGATGCTGGAACCAAGCAAGAGAAGATCAGGCTCTCCCCTACTTTCACCATAGACATTTTTGTTGTCCTCAGACAGGTCAGGGGCCGCACAAAAGTGAGAAGAAAAAACCAAAAACCCCTCCTACAGTTCCCTCACACACCAGAGCCTAGGAAGGCCTGGGCTAGTAGATTGTGGGCCCCCGACGCTCTGGGGTGGTGCCAAAAAGAGGGGGCTGCTGGCTTGGGGTATGGGATCTGGCCAGGAGGGAGGATACAGGAGCAGGCTGAGGCAGTAGTAGGTTTACCAGATGATTTCCAAAAGATACCAGACACTTGATCTCGTAGGGGGTAGGGGGTAGGGAAACAGTCCACAGGGAGCAGGGCTGGCTGCGAGGAGGTTGGGG